ACGATGCGAGGAGAATACACCTGTCAGCGACCACCGCTACACGGAACTACGGAACAATTGGCAAGGAGCTACTCTTCATCATCCTGAATCTCCAGCACTTTACTCCAAACCTGAAAAGTGCTCGTTGTACCATCAACACGGACCACACCACCCTACACCTCCTGCAGCAAGCCCACTTCTAAACTCAACGTCTTCTACGATGGGCTTGATAACTGCAGAAATTCAACCTGGAGACCCGCTATACCAGGGGTCTGACAACATCATAGCCGACTCCCTCTCCAGAGTTTATGAAGTAGAAGCAACTCCACCTATTACTCTACCACATGACGACGTACTTCTTCCAGAACCGCAGGCTTCAGGGGAGAGTTGTGACGATAATCTCTTTCAAGAGAGATTGAGCCTGCTCTTCCCTTCAAAGTACGTAACAACAACAGATAATATAGAAGATATATCCAGCAAGTATCTCCAAAACGTTTTGCCCAGAGAGCAAAACGTATCCAACACACCGGCACACCTGCTCGCCACCGCCACCGTAAACCGGCAAACTGCTTGTCCATTGCCTGCCTGTCGCTGATTGGCTGGTGTCCCGTCGCACCTGCCCTCCGCCCTCCGCCACAAGTTGATGTCTGGGCTGCAGTGGCCCAGAATAGTCAGAATATTCCAGTGCTCCTTGCAGTTGACATCTCGCGTTGGTAGACTAAGCCTTGGCTTTCGTGTACTAAGGGAGGTGGCAGCTCGAAGCCAATATTCCGGCATCATCATTATTATTTTGCTATTACTCACTTGTCTTAACGTAACTTTTCATTTACCAGTGATTATTCTTATTATTTTGTTTGTTGACTTGCCTTGTATATTTTATGCTTAATTTTATTCATGTCTTGTTTTTCTAACGTAATTAAAATTTCATTGTTAAATTTACTTGTGTTTTGTGTGTCTTCCCATTACCTTACCACAGACGAAAGTTCCAGCTTTTTCTCTTTTTTTTTCTTTAATGTGACGAGGCTAATGTGATCTCTCTTTCAAGAGAGATTGAGCCTGCTCTTCCCTCCAAAGTACGTCACATCAACAGATAATATTGAAGATATATCCAGCAAGTATCTCCAAAACGTTTTGCCCAGAGAGCAAAACGTATCCAGCCCACCAGCGCACCTGCTCGCCTCCGCCACCGTTAACCGGCAAACTGCTTGTCCATCGCCTGCCTGTCGCTGATTGGCTGGTGTCCAGTCGCACCTGCCCCACCAACCTCCGCCACGAGTTGATGTCTGGGCTGCAGCGACCCAGAGAAGGCAGAATATCCCAGTGCTCCTTGCAGTTGACATGTCTCATTGGTAGACTAAGCCTTGGCTTACGTGTACATATATATATATATTTTTCTGCATATATATATATATATATATATATATATATATATATATATATATATATATATATATATATATATGTCGTACCTAGTAGCCAGAACGCACTTATCGGCCTACTATGCAAGGCCCGATTTGCCTAATAAGCCAAGTTTTGATGAATTAATGGTTTTTCGACTACCTAACCTACCTAACCTAACCTAACCTAACTTTTTCGGCTACCACACCGAACCTAACCTATAAAGATAGGTTAGGTTAGGTTAGGTAGGGTTGGTTAGGTTCGGTCATATATCTACGTTAATTTTAACTCCAATAAAAATAAATTGACCTCATTCATAATGAAATGGGTAGCTTTATCATTTCATAAGAAAAAAATTAGAGAAAATATATTAATTCAGGAAAACTTGGCTTATTAGGCAAATCGGGCCTTGCATAGTAGGCTGAGAAGTGCGTTCTGGCTACTAGGTACGGCATATATATATATATATATATATATATATATATATATATATATATATATATATATATATATATATATATATATATATATATATATATATATATATATGTTTCATTGAATATGACCGCATATTCTGTATTTATTATTTTCTGGTTTAGGGCTTCTATCCCTCTAACTATTTTCTTAGCATAAACAGCCCGAAGCCGACGGAGAACCCTCTACAGCAGTCAAGCATTGTATACATGTACACTTGCCCCCACGAAGGATGTAACCTTCAATGTAAGTACATAGGTATGACGTCGACCAAGCTGACGAGGCGTTTGACATGCCATCTTCAATCTGGTGCCCCTAGGAATCACATGAGACAAGCCCATGACATTACTCTAACAAGAGAAATGTTGAACAAGAATACTTGCATAATAGACAAAACCCAAGATTCAAGAAGATTACAAATTCTTGAGGCAATTCACATAAGAATAGAGCGACCTACCATGAACACCCAAATCACGGAACTATTTACTCTACCCACCATGAGAGTAAGGGCAAGACAAGAACATATCGATGCCAACACAGAAGACAATGTCCAACATAACAGGCCAATTACACTGGATTAATCTTTGTGTTTAGATAGGAGATGCCTCGTATGGGCCAATAAGCCTTCTGCAGCCTCTATGTTTCACCTCACATTTATCCCTTATGTATCCCCCCATGTTTTCACCTTCATTGTATTATCACCTGACCTAATGCGGGTATAAAATCAACTAGTATTGTAAGATCTGTTCACTTGAGAATGATCCATGGAGGTTCGAAACGTCGTGCAAATTATACAAATAAGTGTAATACACTCTATAGTAAATCACTTCTTTTCTTCACCTTAAAAGTACGAAAATGAGTTTTGGAGAACTCCTATTTCAATTAAGCCCTGATGCTAAGAAAATAGTTAGAGGGATAGAACCCCTAAACCAGAAAATAATAAATACAGAATATGCGGTCATATTCAATGAAACATGTTTGAAAGAAAACCTGCTGCCAGTATACACCAATATATATATATATATATATATATATATATATATATATATATATATATATATATATATATATATATATATATATATATATATATATATATACACATACATACAAGAAGGTACATTGGGATTGTGAGGATACATAGCATAGTAATTACATTCTTGTAAAGCCATTAGTATGCACAGCGTTTCGGGCAGGACCTTAATCTAAGAAAATTTCAAGTAGGTAAATACTAGCAAAATTTATAAAAATGATAACAGGTATATAACAAGAAAAAAAATAAATATGAGAGAAATTTGTAGGTATATTAAAGCACATAGTGTCACAGGGGGGGGGGGGGGGGGCTCGGGCTCTGCTAGCAAGAGGCTGCTAGTGGCTCAGAAGGCAGAATACTCAGCCCCTCCGACTCTCAGGATTCACCGGAGTCTCCTGGTCCCACAGGAGAGGACAAACAATAGCCACCACCGCAGGTCTTTGCTCCCACCACTGTGGGGGTGCCACTGATTCACCCTGGGAGCCCTTCAGTCAACCACGGAGAAACTGCTGTTAGCAATTCCGGCTTAGACCCGTGGAGAAGTGAAGGAAGACCCAGGCTTACCCTTTAACAATAACTTTCCCTGAGTCTTGCCTGCCAGACAAAAATGTTGCAAGAATTCCTTTCCCCACCTGCCTTCCCTATCTTCTTTTAACAAGGTCGCCAGCTGGGTTGAGATACCTGCACCCCAGCAATGCAGTTCAGTGGGTGTATTCTATACTGCTTGTTGCCAAAGCATTGCTACTCCTACAGGGTTGACACTGGTCTGTCAGCCCAAGGTACACTTCCATAACAATCTGTGTGGCCTTACCTCTCTCCAGCCACTACATTGCTTGTTGCCAAAGTGTTGCCACTATTCCGGCTCTGATACTGGTCGGATGGCGGCCGTGTCGAAGACGGCGTTGAGAACCCCCAGAGAGAGGAAGGGTTAAAAGGCGCAGTAGTCACAACAAGAGATTGAGCCTTGCCAGGGGACGAGGTAATCACCACTGGGGGCTTGTGGCTCGACCCAACTACAGAGCAGGGAGGGGGATCCGTAGGGAGTAGTCAGGAGGGTCAAAGGAGGAGCAAGGTCGGGGCCCAATGCAGCGGGGGCTACAGAGCCCGGTCTTCCAATACAGTCCGACTCGGGGCTTGGTCGCCCACCCCACGAGCCTGAGGGGGTACAAGAGGAACATTCATCAACATGGATATGAAAAAAACACTTTCATTCTCGAATGAGCCCCCACACCCACCATGGAGCCACCATTAGAGGTAGGACACCCAACAAGAAGGTATCGCCGATCAAGCCAGGGCCCCTTAGGGGTGCATCGTGAGTATACGCCGTACAAACGCCTCCTTAAGAACCGTCAGTCCCTCGAGATCGGGCTCAGTGACGAAAGGGGGATTGACAATAAAAGGTTCCCCTCGCTCTAGACATTGGGTACTACAGTTCTATGGGTGCAAGGGTATGCCTCCTCAAACACCCGAGCATCAAAACAAAAGAAAGCCAAGAGAATGATCAAAACAGGCACAAGGTCAGCAGGAAATGACAACAAGAAAGGAGAAGAGGGAGGTGGGGGAGAAAAACGAAACAAAAGGAAAAGGCGTCCAGCAAAATTAGTGAGGACAGCAGCAGGAGCACAAGGCTACAAAAGGACAGGGGGACTGCCCAAAGAAGCATCACACTCCGATAGCCGCCCACCAAGCCCCCTCACGGCTGCAACGAGCTGGACCGCGGGGGAGGGGGGAGATTGGAGCAGTGAGAGGGAGGGTGGTGGTAGTGAGGGAAGAGTAATGGTGAAGGAAGAGTAGCAGTGAGGGAGGTGTTTGGTTAATATGGTTCACTTGTTTTGTGATCCACTTGTCCACTTGTGTTATCAAACTTTTTATATGAAGGAATTACTAATTGTAACCTGTGACATATGCCCTAACACAGGAACTAACTAGGAATGCAATTATGCAATGAACTTTATTTCATTTTAGTTATATAAAATACATCTTACCTGAATGTTACTCAAAATATTACCGACACTTCACCAACTTTGGAAATATCGGAGCCCTGGAAATAACGATCTGGGTACAGCCCCATATAGGCTGTTAAATTGAGTGGATACTGTACTCCAGAAATTATGAAACTTGACAGCAATAATCAGTTTTTAAACACAAATATACTTTTATTGTTTATTATCAAGACATGTTGAGGTACACAACTGTTATCAATCAAACCTTTATCTGTACAAATCATGGAATACATTCCTAAGGAAAAGGACATCACTTATGATACAGAAATCACAATAGCGTGATACATCTAATGAACAAATCCACAAAGGCCGTAATGAGGGGTTTTAACTTGTGTCCGGGCTAAGGCGTGTGCTGAGGTCCGGCTAAGGCGCGTCTGGGATCATCCAGGACGTAAATCAGGAACCCCACGATGGGTCGCACCACTGTGGCTAGATCACTTCGCCACCACAGCCACACAAGCAACGCCATATTCAAGTGGTGTACCTGTCAAGTAAAAACAGAAAATAGATTCTCTATAATATTCTCTCTACTCTGAGTAAATACCCAACCTGTCCTCCAGTAAAGAACGTCACTTTTCGCTCTTATGCATCACACAAGGCCAAAAAATGTACTAGAAAATTAAAGCGGCTCGAAAAAAGTGACGTACTGTCCCATTTTATGTTTTGGAGCCTCAGGTAGGGTATGAGAGACTACTTTAAACTGACTGTTTTCTTGACGTTGTGAAACCTTTGGAGGATGGCCTGAAACCCCCGCCCATCCCCTGAAACTGGATAATGACGATCTCTGTTATTTATCACGCTAGGCAAACTTACACTACAGAAAAGTGTGCCCAAAGTATGGGCTTTGGGCCCTTTGGGCATATGCTCTTAACAAATGAATAAAATTACACCCAAAAGATTTATTTGGTCTCGGGTCTAATAAACAAATAATGTACATGAACTTCACAACTCACCAGCTTGTACCATTCAAGGTAGACAACAACAACAGTTATGGAAAATAAACACTCATCTTGACTATGTCCAAATGAGCTCATATTCTAGTGTAAAAGTCAAATGATAAGAAAGGTGTACCTCTACAACCCGTTCTCGCAAATTCGTATAGTCAATATTGACTTATTAAATAAGTGCATAGGTGACATACTAAACATAATAGATACCCTTAAAAAGCTTAATAGAAAACACCGACCTTACCTAACTTTCTTAGTATGTTAAGATAAGCATCTTATAGCTTCGTAATTACAATTGTTACTTAACCTATCATAGGTATAGGTTAAGTAATAATTGTAATTACGAAGCAATAAGATGCTTATCTTAACATACTAACAAGGTTAGGTAAGGTCGGTGTTTTCTATGAAGCTTTTTATGGGTATCTATTATGTTTAGTATATCACCTATGCATGTATTTAATAAGTCAATATTGACTATACGAATTTGCGAGAACGGGTTGACCTCTAGCACACCCTGAACAGACTGTTTTTAATTAAAAATAATTTAAAACACAGCAAAACTTTTGGCTACACTGACACCACAACCATTACTCACCTGACTAATCAGACACATTACAATCTCAGATTCTACACACTCAGACTATAAGCTCATTGAAGTGCAAACTAACATTAATAACAGCAGCAAGTCCAAGAGAACCAACAAGTGAGAAGGGTTATTCAATCAATTCAATTTCAACAATAAGAGGATCGACTGGGAAGTAATAAATATAGACCTTGGAAACATTCATTGGGAGACCATCCTACGCGACAAAACGCCCACACAGGGACTATATATAGTCTGAGTGATTTTAGGAGGATAGGAAAATATAAGAAAGACAAGAACCCCCCCTTAACCCTTCAATTGCGCATCGCATCATATGATGCTTTGACCGACTTGTAGTAAATTGCGCATCGCATCATGTGATCCTTTGGAGTACTACGCAAGATTTAATGGCCCGTGGATACACAGGGTTCACCATACCTTCATCAGGGCTCTTGTAAACAGATGCCATTTTTTTTTTAAATCGTGGGCCAAATTCCCGGGTGTTAGGGGCCTCAATATTGAGTGAGCTACCAAGCCTGACGCACGCAGCATGAGCTCATAGCACTGCTGTTCAGGGTGTGACCACAGCATCGCCTAAAAATGCCATAATATACTTATTCATGCTATTATGTAGCGATGATATTATTACAGAAGACCCCTGATTGTGATAAAACTGACCAGGGTTCTGATAATAGCAGGATTGTGGTGATATTTAGCGCTGTGCGCCATGGAGGGAGTAGTAATGCTGTGGGAGGGAGGGTGGTGGCGATGTCTTCTGACTGTGTGTGGCCACCTTTTATTGACTGCACTCACCATACCAGCTTAGTGGTTCGCTATGGTGAACACAAATGTAGATACTTATATATAACGGATGTATAGAGGGTATAAACAGCAGGAGTAGGAGGTTGGGAGCCGCCATTTTGGTGAGGGTGGTGGCGTCGTCTGCACTATTTATCAAGTTGTTTGCTGGTTACCACGATGGTCTTTGGGCACCATACCAGTTTACTTGTACAAGTATGGTGAATAAAACAGGTAGATATTTATATATAATGTGTATATATAGCGTAATAACACCACAAACAGTATTGCTGGAGGAGAAATATTAGTACGTCTGGCCTTGAGGGCGGCAGCCAGCTGACTGTGTGAGGTCCTACGTCTTTGTGCCTTTACTCAATATACAAGCTTAAATGTACAGTTATGGTGAACAAAACATGTAAATACTTATATATAACGTCTGTATATAATAGCAAAAACAGTATGGTGGGTGGAGAATGGTGGCAAGTCAGGTGAGGTGAGGGAGGGAGGGAGTGGCAGCCAGTGGCGGGCTGTCACTGGCTGCCACTGCCACTGCCACTCAGCATACCAACGAAGTGGTTCGTTATGGTGAACACGAATGTAGATACTTATATATAGCATCTGTATATAGTGAATAAAAGCAAAAACAATATTGTGGAAGGAGAATGTGGGCGAGTCAGATGACTGGAGGGAGGGCGGGAGTGGCTGGCTGGTACACGGTGGTCACTCCTCGTTACTTTTTGACTCATAATAGCAACTTAGTGGTTCGTTATGGTGAACAAAACATGCAGATACTTATATATAACCTGTGTATATAGTGTAATAACCGACAAAGTATTTTTTTTTTTTTTTTTTTTTTTTTTTTTTTTTTTTTTTTTTTTTTTTTTTTTTTTTTTTTTTTTTATATATAGACTTGTTACATTCTTGTACAGCCACTAGTACGCGTAGCGTTTCGGGCAAGTCCTTAATCCTATGGTCCCTGGAATACGATCCCCTGCCGCGAAGAATCGTTTTTTCATCCAAGTACACATTTTACTGTTGCGTTAAACAGAGGCTACAGTTAAGGAATTGCACCCAGTAAATCCTCCCCGGCCAGGATACGAACCCATGACATAGCGCTCGCGGAACGCCAGGCGAGTGTCTTACCACTACACCACGGAGACTGCACCACTGTTTGTTCACTGTTTGATGAACATAATTGAATCAACAATATGCACACCATATTTTTGAGTACAGCGATGATTCACTCATTTTATTATATAAATATATCACACTACACACTATTGAATAATATTACAGCAAAAAAAACTACGAAAAATAAATCAGAGACATTGAAATAATTAGGTAATTATCTCTTTGTGGCAACTCCGGCCTGACAGCTGGCAATCAACAGACCGCTGGGACGCACGCTGAGTCAGCGCCTGTTTTTTTGCCAGACTTCCCCGCCCTATAGCGGGCAATATATGCCACTCACGATTTTGTTATTATTTTTCCCATGATCAGTGAACACAAATTAACAGGTTTGGAAGAATTTTTTTTTTTTTTTTTTATGCGCCTGTGGGTGTCAAATGGTATATAGCCATGTGCCATTTAAGGGTTAAGGGTGAAATTTAATGGAGTGAAGTATATGCCAGAAGTGCTTCGGAATACCTGAAAATTGCAATGTGACGAGGATGGCAAACTTTGGTCAATAAGACAAGACTTCTCAAAAGAGGACAGAGAAAAGCTGAAAGTGAACCTTATTGAAGCGAAATGTCTGAATGGGGATAGAAATGAAGAAGAAAGGAATTCTTTTTTCTACAAAGTTTCAGGGTCTGTAAAGCTTGTGAAATGGTACATAAAGACAAAACAACAAAATCATTAAAGGAAGGGGGTGTAAAGAACAAAGGGAAAGGAAACATATTCCTGAAAATAGTATATACCAATATAGATGGAGTGAGATAAAAAATATTGGAGTTCAAGGCTATAATTCAGCTCAAAGTCACAGGTATTATCACATTAACAGAGACAAAACTTGAAGAAAATATTTTAAATGAGGTTGTATTCCCAAGGGACTACTCAGTTTGGAGACGTGACAGGAAAACTAGGAAGGGGAAAGGAGTGGCTGTGCTGGTGAACGAACACCTGGAGGTAAGAGAGTTAGTATTTGAAAATCCTCAAGATATTGACATAATGACATTGCAGCTCTGGAATCAAGATAAGCTGATAATTTTAAATGTCTACAGCCCACCAGCAAGCAACACATGGACAAAGGAAGAACTAGATGACAAAAAAGAGGGCCTCATAATGGTCATGAGAGAGATTATGGTAAGAGCTGACAAAGATAAATCCTGATTGTTGGTACTGGGGGACTTCAACTTTAAGGCAATAGACTGGGAGGCCTACGAGGCAAGAACAGAGGACATTTGGACAAGCAGATTTGTAAACCTCATCTTGGAAACATTCATGTATCAACACGCCAAGCAGGCCACAAGAATGAGGGAAGGGGATGTTCTGTCAGTACTGGATCTAGTATTCACCAGGAAAGAAGAAGAGATATTTGACATCCAGTACCTTCTTCCCTTGGGAAAGAGTGATCACGTCCTCTTCGACATTAAATACACTATGCGATAAAATCTAGTAGAATATGGGTAGAGTGAAACACTTATTAAACTCGATTTCAAGAGAGGACGCTATGGGGAACTTAGAATTTTTTTCTTGGGTATAATTGAACAGACTTGTTGCTAGGCAAGGAAGTAAATGAGATGTATGCCAAATTTTGCACAATATATGATGAAGGCACACAAACATTCATACCAAAACAGACATGCAGACTAGGAAACAGGGTTGGTTCAACAGAAATTGCGAGAGAGCCAGAGATCAAAAGACACACGCATGGAATCATTATAGGAAGAGGCCAAACCCCCAAACATACCAGCGATACAAAGATGCAAGAAACAACTACACGTCAGTAAGGAGAGAGGCAGAGAGGAACTTTGAGAACGGTATAGCAAACAAATGTAAATCAGATCCAGGCCTTTTCTATAAATTCCTTAAAAGCAAGCTGCAGGTAAAGGATATATATTCAGAGGTTGAAAATGGGGGACAGATACATGAAAAATGAAAAGGAAATGTGTGAAATATTAAACAAAAAGTTCCAAAGTGTGTTATACAAAATGAGATCTTCAGAGAACTAGACACAATAAGAATTCCAGAGAACAACATAGAGCATATAGAGGTGTCTACAGATGAAGAACATAGTTCCAATCTACAAAAGTGGCAGCAGGGAAGACCCCCCCACCCCTCCCCCTCAATTATAGACCTGAATCATTGACAAGTTTAACAGTGAAAATATTGGAAAAATAACAAAATCTAAATGGGTAGAACACTTGGAGAGAAATAATATAATATCAGACAGACAGTATGGTTTTCGATCTGGAAGATCCTGTGTATCGAATTTATTCAGTTTCTATGATCGAGCAACAGAGATTTTACAGGAAAGAGATGGTTTGGTTGACATCTATCTGGACCTATAAATGGCTTTTGACAGAGTTCCACATAAGAGGTTGTTCTGGAAACTGGAAAATATTGGAGGGGTGATAGGTAAACTTCTAACATGGATGAAAGATTTTCTGGCTGATAGAAAACTGAGGGCAGTAATCAGAGGGAATGTATCGGACTGGAGAAATGTCACAAGTGGAGTACAACAGGGTTCAGTTCTTGCACCAGTGATGTTCATTGTCTACATAAATTATCTATCAGTTGGTATACAGAATTATATGAACATGTTTGCTGATGATGCTAAGATAATAGGAAGGATAAAAAACTTAGATGATTTTCATGCCCTTCAAGAAGACCTGGACAAAATAAGTATATGTAGCACCACTTGGCAAATGGAATTTAATGTGAACAAATGCCGTGTTATGGAATGTGGAATAGGAGAACATAGACCCCACACAACCTATAAATTATGTGAGAAATCTTTAAAGAATTCTGATAAAGAAAGAAATCTAGGGGTGGTTTTAAATAGAAAACTATCACCTTAGAACCACATAAAAGAACGTTGTGCGAGGAGCCTATGCCACACTTTTTTAACTTCAGAATTGCTTTTAAATACATGGATGGCAAAATTCTAAAGAAATTGTTCACAACTTTTGTTAGGCGAAAGCTAGAGTATGCAGCGGTTGTGTGATGCCCATACCGTAAGAAGCACATTAATAAACTGGAAAAGGTGCAAAGACATGCTACTAAGTGGCTCCCAGAACTAAAGGGCAAGAGCTACGAGGAGAGGTTAGAGGCATTAAATATGCCAAAACTTGAAGACAGAAGAAAAAGAGGTGATATGATCACTACGTACAAAATAGTAACAGGAATTGATAAAATCGATAGGGAAGATTTCCTGAGAGCTGGAACTTCAAGGACAAGAGGTCATAGATTTAAACTAACTAAACAAAGATGCCGAAGAAATATAAGAAAACTCACTTTCGCAAACAGAGTGGTAGACGGTTGGAACAAGTTAAGTGAGAAGGTGGTGGAAGCCAAAACCGTCAGTATCTTCAAAGCATTATATGATAAAGAGTGCTGGGAATACAGGACACCATAAGCGTAGCTCTCATCCTGTAACTACACTTACATAATTACACTTCGGTAATTACAGTAAATAGCTCAACTGACAGCTGAAGTATACTAGATCTGCTTGAAGCACATGCCTGTGAGGAGGGTCAGAAAGAGGACCACTCTAAAAGAAGAACGCAGACGACTGCACAAAGGAAAAATTAACGGAAATGCTTAAACAGACACGACTGTCTTTAAAAAGAAAAATAAATCTAAACGGGGAGATCAAAGAAATAATTCTATGAATAGAGCAGACGTTGAAGTGATCATATGAGTGAGGAAATGGAATTGAAACGGAAAGCTATACAAGAGATAAAAAAAAATCCTAAATATTTTTTCACATATGCAAAATCAAAATAAAAAATCTCCACCAGTATCGGACCTTTACTTATAACTGAAGGAACATACACATAGGACAACAAAGAAATTAGTGAAATTCTAAGAAGCCAGTATGAGACTGTTTAGCACCTGAATTAACAACATGAAAGTTGAAGATCTAGACAGCATCTTTATGAATGACATACAAGCTGCAGATAATATAACTGGTATTAACATGAACTTGGAAGATTTTGAAAGAGAAATTGACAACATGCCCGTGCACGCAGCCCCAGGTTCAGACTCGTGGAATTCAATATTCATAAAGAAATATAAAGTACCAGTAGCATGAGTACTCAGTATAATATGGAAAAAGAGCCTGGATACAGGGGAGATACCAGCAGCACCTAAATCAGCATATATAGCTCATCTGCACAAGGAAGGTAGTAAAGCTTTGCCAAAAAATTATAGACCAGTTGCACTAACTTAACACATAATGAAAGTTGAAAGTTTTTGAGAAGAAAAGCCAAATGCAGATTTTTTTTTTTTTTTTTTTTGAGATATATACAAGAGTTACATTCTTGTACAGCCACTAGTACGAGTAGCGTTTCAGGCAAGTCCTTAATCCTATGGTCCCTAGAATACGATCCCCTGCCGCGAAGAATCGTTTTTTCATCCAAGTACACATTTTACTGTTGCATTAAACAGAGGCTACAGTTAAGGAATTGCGCCTAGTAAATCCTCCCCGGCCAGGATACGAACCCATGACATAGCGCTCGCGGAACGCCAGGCGAGATGTTGTGTACACAGACTTTGCAAAGGCATTCTACAAATGTGACCATGGAGCATAAAATGGGAGTGATAACCCATATAATGAAATCAATGGGAATAACGGGTAAAGTGGGGCGTTGGAATTTCAACTTTGTCAAACAGAATGCAGAGTGTGATAGTCGATCAAATAAGATCAAGACCAAGCGCAGTGAAAAGTTCTGTACCCCCCAGGGCACAGTCCTTGCACCGCTGCTATTTCTCATTCCAATCTCGGATATAGACAAAAATACTAGTAACAGCTTCGTGTCATCTTGTATCCTATTATGTCGTGTCATCAAAAACGACATCTAGTATCAGGCCCTTGCGACAGAGATAGCACTTTCTCAGATGACAACAAAGAAATGAGCGAAATACTGAAGAATCAGTATGACTCTGTTTGAAATGAGCCACTACACACACTAAAGATTGATAACCCAAATAAATTTTTCATGGATGTGATGCCAACATCAAATCATATATCTTATGTCACCCTATCCCCACTGGATTTTGAAGAAGCCATAGACAGTATGCCTATGCACTTTGCACCAGGCCCTGATTCTTGGAACTCCATATTCATCAAGAACTGTAAAAAAAACACTGTTGCAGGCCCTTCACATTCTTTGGAGGCAAAGCTTAGATACTGGCATTATCCCTGACCTACTAAATTCAGCAGATATAGCACCATTCTATAAAGGAGGAAATAAGGCAGAGGAAAAAAATTACAGAGCGATAGCACTGACATCACTCAACATAAAAAATCTTTGAGTGCTAAGAAATAAGATCACAAAACACATGGAATCACAGCATCTCCATAAGCCTGAACAACATGGTTTCAAAACAGAGCGCTCTTGCCTATCACAGTTGCTGGACCACTATGACATGGCCTTAGATGGTATGGATGACAAGCAAAATGCTGATGTAATTTACAAAGATTTCGCAAAAGCCTTCGACAAATGTGACAATGGTGCTATTGCACACAAAATGGGTGCAAAAGGAATTACCAGAAAAATAGGCAGATGGATCTACAATTTCCTGACTAACAGAACCCAATGAGTAATAGTCAACAAAATAAAATCCGGACCATTAACACTGTCTCCCTCTCCCAGGTCAGTCTCCCAGGGTACTGTGCTTGCTTCAGTACAGTTTCTCTTCATATCAGACATAGACTAGGACACAATCTATAACACTGTATCATCCTTTGCACATGACACTAAGATTTTTTATGAGAGTAAACAACATAGAGAACACAGCAAACCTCCAATCACACGTAAATCAGGTCTTTCAATGAACTACAGAAAAAAATATGGAATTTAATGATGATAAGTTCCAGCGCTTGTGCTACAGAAAATATTCAATTATATAAGCAGAAACCACATACAAAATGCAGCCAAATCATAACATAGAACGAAAAAGCAATGTAAAGGATTTGGCTGTACTCATGTTGGAAGACCTTACCTTTAAAGTACTGTACACAATAAAGTAGCCATCCCAACTGCAAGAAAAATGACAGGTTGAATAACAAGAACTTTTCAAACTAGAAATGCTATACCAATGATGATACTCTTCAAGATGCTAGTGCTCTCTACAGTAGAATACTGCTGCACAATGACAGCCCCTTTCAAAGCTGGAGAAATTGCTGACCTGGAGAGTGTGCAGAGAGATCTTTACTGCTAGAATCCACTCAGTAAAACATCTAAACTATTGGGACCGACTAAAATGCCTAAATCTGTATTCTCATCAGCGCAGGTGGGAGAGATACACAATAATTTACACATGGAAAATAATAGAGGGGCTGGTCCCAAACCTGCACACAGAAATAACACCACATGAGACTAGGAGGCATGGCAGGATGTGCAGAATATCCCTCGTTGAAAAACAGAGGTGCAATAGGTACCCTGGGAGAGAACTATCAACATTAGAGGCCCGAGACTGTTCAACACGCTTCCACTACACAAAAGAGGTATAACTGGCTGACCCCTCACAGTGTTCAAGAGAGAACTTGATAATCATATCCAAAGGATACCTTTTCAACCAGGCTGTGACTCATACGTCAGGCTGCGAGCAGCAGCGTCCAACATCCTGGTTGACCAGCAAGCAACGTGGAGGCCAGGGTGATGATCGGGCTGCGGGGATGCTAAGTCCTGAAACCAACACAAGGTACGGTACACAAGATAATCCTTTGCAGACGATAAAAAAATCAGAATGAAAATTTCTACCATAAAAGACACTGAAAAACTGCAGGCAAATATTAATAAAGTCTTCGATTGGGCAACTGAAAATTACATGATGTTTAACGGGGATAAGTTCCAGTTACAGTACTTAGGTATGGTGGAAACGAGTAACTTCAACAAAACACAGGGTACAAGACACAACCGGACCTACTCAAAAAAAGGAAAGCAATACGTAAAAGATTTGGGAATTATGAGGTCTGACGACCTAACATTTAGTGAACATAACTGAACAAATATAGTGGCTGCCAGGAAAATGATAGGATGGATTATGAGAACGTTCAACTCCAGAGACCCCACAGCAATGCTAATACTATTTCAATCACTGGTGCTGTCCCATCTTGAGTATTGCTCAAAACTCACTTCCACTTTCAGAGCGGGAGAGATCTCTGAATTAAAGGGAATATATTGAACATATACAGCACACATAGACACGATAAACATCTAAATTATTGGGACCGTATCTAAGCTTTCAAAATGTACTCTTTGGAAAGGAGATGCGAGAGGTGTCAAATAATATATACATGGAAGATACTTGAAGGCCAGGTCACAAATTTGCACAGAACAACAACAACAACAAATTGGAGCGAAAGAAATGGATGGAAATGCAGAATAGAACCAATGAGGATTAGAGGTGCCATATCACAATCAGAGACCACTGAAGTGCTGGACCAAAAGGGCTGTGCTAGATATGTGGGTCTGTGGGCCACTCCAAGCAACAGAACTTTAAAATCCAGAGATCCCATCACAATGGTTATACTATTCAAATCACTTGTGCTGTCCTGTCTTGATTACTGCTCAGTACTCACTTCCCCCTTCAAAGCAGGAGAGATTGCTGAAATAAAGGGAAAACAGAAAACATATATATGGCATACATAGACACGATAAAGCACCTAAATTATTGGGATCGTCTCAAAGCTCTCCAAATGTACTCACTAGAAAGGAGACGAGAGATAAAAAAAAAATTATACATGTGGAAAATACTGGAGGGCCTCTGCGAAAGGGAGATGGAACTTTTACAAATGACAACTAAGAAATGAGCGAAATACTGAGGAAACAGTACAACTCTTTGTTTTCAGCGATACACTAAATAAACTAAAGATTGATAACCCGAATGAGTTTTTCATGTCTATGAAACCAACATTAAATCATGTATCAGATGTCACCCTATCCCCACTGGATTTTGAAGAAGCCATGGACAGTATGCCTATGCTCTCTACACCAGGTCCCGATTCTTGGAACTCCATATTCATCAAGGACTGTAAAAAAAACTATCGCAGGCCCTTCACATTCTTTGGGGACAAAGCCTAGATACTGGCATTATCCCTGACAATACTAAATTCAGCAGAGATAGAACCACTCCATAAAGGAGGAAATAATTTCTCAACTTACAAACTGTTGCAAATGATGCAATGGATCAAATACATATGATTCAGGCCGAGGAAACCCTCTCAGCTCAAAGTGACCTCCTTCAAAAGCTGGAAAAACAGATCAATCTCCTTCAGATTCACCAGGCGGCTTCCGAAGATGACCAAGAGCAACAACAACTTCATGACTCCCTGATAATTATTTATTTATTTATTTATTTATTTTATTTATTTATTTATATATACAAGAAGGTACATTGGGTTTGTGAGAATACATTGGGTAGTACAGTATTTACATTCTTGTAAAGCCACTAGTACGCGCAGCGTTTCGGGCAGGTCCTTAATCTAGCAGATAATTTTAAGTAGGTAATTTCAATCAGAATTGATAAATGATAAAGATACATTACAAGAGAAAAATGAGATGAGAGAGATAAGTAAGTATATTAAAGCACATTGTTATATTAAAGCTCTGATTGATTACATTGACAGCTTGATTAGTAATTTAAACAAGATTAATAGACACCATACAGCAGATTGACAGCACATATAAGACAGCAATGATCACAATGGTAAAGATGTTCAGAATGGGTACATAAAGATTGGGAGACTGGGTAGCAAAAGATACAGATAAACAAGATTTATAAACACCATACAACAGATTGGCAGCACATATAAGAAAACAGCAATGATCACAATGGTAAAGATGTTCAAATTGGGAACATAAAGGTTGGGAGATTGGGTAGCAATAGATACAGTGCAATTTTAAGGCAAAAAGTGAAAAACTATGAAGATGAAATTAGGTACTTTTTAGTATTGATTTTGAATGATGTAAAAGTTGGACAGCTTTTCAATTCAGTAGGGAGTGAGTTCCATAAACTGGGTCCCTTTATTTGCATAGAGTGTTTACACAGATTAAGTTTAACTCTGGGGATATCGAAGAGATATTTATTTCTGGTGTGGTGATAATGGGTCCTATTACATCTGTCCAGGAAGAGTTTCAGACAAGGATTTGCATTTAAGAACAGGGTTTTGTAAATGTAGTTGACACAAGAGAATTTGTGGAGTGAGATTATGTTTAGCATGTTTAGGGAGTTAAACAAGGGGGCTGTGTGTTGTCTGAAAGCAGAATTTGATATTATTCTGATAGCAGATTTTTGCTGGGTGATGATGGACTTGAGGTGGTTTGCAGTGGTTGAACCCCATGCACAGATACCATAGTTGAGATAGGGATAGATTAGTGCATTAGCTCTACTGATCTACCTGATGAACAACAAGGTGAGAATTGTTGTAATATAGCCCACACCCTAATTAATTCAAAGATCAGAGTCAGTGTTGAAATCAAATCAGCTATCAGGATAGATTAAAACAGTCCCCGTAGCAGTAGGAGAATGCTCATCAAACTTGCAAATCCCTTTGCGAAGTTTGACCTCATACAATCAGCTGCTAAGCATAAAACCAAGCTCTATATAAATGAGTGTCCTACAAAGCAGCGTGGATCCCTCCTCTTCAGGCTGCGTCAAATTCGCAAACAAAACCCTGGTCTTATCAAGCAGTGCTACACTAGGAATGGAACGATTATTGCGAAGAAGGAAAGTACAGGAAAAAAATATGAAATAAAATGTGACCAACAACTACTGGCCTTCTTTAGTGATTGTGGTATATCTGAAAACCTGAACCCGACCAATGCCAGTACTTAAAATAACTCTTTCAGTGCCTGAGCCTAACCTAACTTAATCTAACTTTGTCTAAGGTACTGTCTCTGCCTTACCATTTACCTAATGTTCTCTCATTCATATAATTTCCTAAATAATCCATCAAGTCTCCATGCACTTATGCAAGCATCTACCTCAGTTTCATTGTAAAATTTTACTCTTAAATCTAATCTTACCCTATTCCATTTAAATTTTAAATTTAATTGTATTGATCTATGTCATTTATTGAAATCAATTATTGATCTCATTTTGTTCTTTTAATTAAGTTCATACTAATTATAGGTTATAACTAAGCTAAATAAAATTTATTATCTTTAGATTATTTTACTTTACAATTATCATTTGTCAATTTTTTTTTTATATATTCATCTTGACAGTCTCTACTGACTTTTTGTTCTCTCCACCAAACTTGTGTATCCTCCATGGCTATCTAGTGACCTTTATTCTACCTCTAATTGTTTCAATTCTTTTGTTTACTTGCATTTATTGTTGTGTTTTGCCATAATTATTCTCTAATTTTAGCAGACTCAATACTTTGTAAGCTCTTATTGTATTGTTATATTATTATATTGTTGTGTTTTGCTATAATTACTTTCTATTTTACAGCAGATTTAGTTTTCATCTGTTCCTGTAATTGCTTATCTTATTGTATCGTGACATTATCTTATCTATATGCTTACTGATATTGATCCTGATCGAAATCTTCTGTCCCATATCCACACAAATCAGCACATTGATCATCATTACTGCAGGTATTACACAGCAAATCTTGCAAAAAACAAACTCCTAAATAGCACCTGCTTATCAGTTTACAACCAAAATGTTAGGTCACTTGGTAAACATTTTGATGATATAAATGCACTACTTACAGCACTAGGTACTAAATTATCTTTCATCATTTTAACAGAAACTTGGCTAAGTAATGACTATACCCAACTCTACAATTTAGCTGGTTATAAAGCCTTTCATAACTGCAGGCCTAATAAAAAAGGTGGCGGTACAGCAATATATTACAAAGATACCTTCATTTGCAATAGTGTCATTAGTGATAGAGACGACTATTGTGAATATACCTTTGCCAAGTTCTCCAGTAAATCCCTTAAATCCTCCCTGATAATCGGTGCCATCTATAGATTTCCTAATACCAACATAGCTTTATTCTCTGACAATGTAAGGAATCTTATCATAAATAACAATCTCAACAAAAATCACATCATTCTGGGAGGTGATTTCAATATTGACCTGGGTCTTCAAAACAACCCTCAAGTTGACTATTTCCGTAACAGCATGCACTCCTGTATGCTAATCCCCACAATCACCAAGCCCACCCGAGTCACTCAAACATCTGCCACTACCCTGGATCACCTATGGACTAATATAACAGCTCCCCTTACATCTGGGATAATTTATGACAGAACAACTGACCACTATCCTACTTTCCTCATAGCAAACATTGACACATCACCACCAGAAACCAAAAAACTTTCATTCTGGCTACATAGTGAATCAGCTTTAGGCAATCTCTCTAATGCACTTCACAATATTAATTGGGAATCTGAATTTAATAATTCACAGGATATAAACTCATCAACTAACCTCTTTCTCTCCAAAACTCTAAGCCTCTACAACACTCACTGTCCCCTCCTTACCAAACAAGTAACTGATAAAAGAAAAAATAACCCGTGGCTCACAAGTGGCATAATTAAATCAATCAACAAAAAACATGAATACGAAAAGAAATTTAGGAGTGGCCTAGTTTCAATGGAAGTAGTTAAAAGGTACTCATCAGTGCTTACCAGTATCATAAGAAAAGCAAAACTTTCATATTATGAGACTAGATTCAAAGAAGCAAAAGGCAACATGAAAAGCACATGGAATACCATCTCTAACAACATGGGAACTAAACAACACTCCCACAACCAGATAACACTCTCTAAGGATGGCCTTACACTGTCATCTGACTTAGAAATGGCGAATGAATTTAATAGCTTCTTTTCATCGATTGGTGCTAACCTTGCAAGTAAAATCCAACAGACTCAGACACATATCAACACATATCTCTCAGGCAGCTATCCAAACTCTCTTCTCCTCTCACCAGTCAGCCCGTCAGATGTTGTGTCCATCATACACTCACTAAAAACCAAAGCTGGGAACATCAGTGAAATCCCATCCATTGTATACAAGAGTGCCTCCCATGCCCTTGCGCCACCTATAGCTCTGCTGTTCAACAAATCCCTTGAGTGTCATACCTTCCCTGATATCCTTAAAAAAGCAAGAGTAACGCCAGTTCATAAAGGAGGTAATCCGTCAGACATAAACAACTATAGACCAATATCGAACCTACCCATACTATCAAAAATATTTGAAAAAATTATCTACAAACAGCTCTACTCCTATCTCGTAAAATTTGACATTCTTAGCCCCTGTCAGTTTGGCTTCCGCTCTCAAAAGAGTACCAACGATGCAATTATTAGTCTCCTTGATATAATTTACTCAGCCCTTGACAAAAATGAGTTTCCAATTGGACTCTTCATTGACCTGAGAAAGGCCTTTGATACTGTTAATCACGATTACCTATTATGTAAACTCCATCATTATGGAATCCGAGGCCATGCACTAGACTATATCCAATCCTATCTTAGTGATAGACACCAATGTGTAGCCATCAATAATATAATCTCTCCCATTCTACCAATAACCATTGGAGTGCCACAGGGCAGCATCTTGGGACCTCTTCTATTTCTTATATACATTAATGATCTGCCTAATGTCTCTAACATTCTGAAACCTATTTTGTTTGCTGATGATACTACCCTCATCTACTCCAACCCCAACCCACATACACTAAGTAAGTAATTATCAAAAGAAGGCACCAAACCGGGAAGGCTATGTAGCACCATCAAATACGCAAAATAATCAGAGGGCGCTAAATATCACCAAGGATGCCAATACGAGAACAAAAACGCATAAGGCGAACGATATCAAAAGTATCCGAGTCACCAAGAATTCTATCGAGGGACAGGTGACCGCGAGGGGCGGTCGGAAAGCAAGACACACGCTCGTCCTGGAAGTCAGGACATTCAAGAAGGACATGCACGACCGTAAGAGGGACAATGCAACTAGGACAATAAGGAGCAGGGCGGCGCTACATCAAGTGACCATGGGTTAAGCGAGTATGGCCAATACGCAACCTCGCCAGAGCTGTTTCCCACCGCCGGTTACGGTGGAAGGAGGACGGCCATGAGGAAACACAACATTTAAGAGTACGTAGCTTGTTACCAGTAACAGACAACCAAGAAGCCTGCCAACGGGTAAGGACTGAGGAATGGATAACCGGGTAAAAGTCGGAATACGGAATGCCTTTACGAGAGATGGGACAAGAGCGGACAGCTTCCTTGGCGGCAGCATCCGCACGCTCATTTAAAGACACACCAATATGGCTGGGAACCCAACAAAACTCAACCCACTTAAATTTACTGTGAACAAGAAACAGCCAATGCTGGATCTCGACAACTACTGGATGAACCGCATTAAAGAACCCGAGAGCCATGAGGGCACTACGAGAGTCAACAACAACTACAAAGGAAGACTGACAACGAGAAAGCAGGAGACGAAGAGCATAGAGAATAGCATAAAGTTCCGCTGTAAAGATGCTAGTCTCCGGAGGCAAGCGACACACATAAGTGCGATCAGGAAAAACAACAGAGTAGCCAACACCGTCCGCTGACACGGAGGACACGGCAAACCTCCAATCAGATGTAAATCAGGTTTTTCTTTGGGATACAGAAAATAATATGGTGTTTAACGAAGATAAGTTCCAGCTCATATGCTACGGGAAAAAAATATATAAAAATGGAAACCACGCACAAAATGCAGTCAAATCATAACATAGAATGAAAAGGCAATGTAAAGGATTTGGGTATACTCATGTCGGATGAACTTACATATAAAGAACACAATAAAGCAACCGTCACAACTGCTAGAAAAATGACAGGTTGGATAACAAGAACATTTCACACTAGAGATGCTATACAAATGATGATACTTTTCAAGATGCTACTACTCTCTAGTATGAAATACTGCTGCACAATGACAGCCCCTTTCAAAGCTGGAGAAATTGCTGACCTGGAGAGTGTGCAGAGAACCTTTACTGCTAGAATCCACTCAGTAAAACATCTAAACATAAACTATTAAAAAATAAATAGACATAAAAAATAAAAAACATAAACATACAAAAAAACACAAACATAAAAAACAAACTATTGGGACCGACTAAAGAGCCTAAATCTGTATTATCTTGAGCGCAGGCAGGAGAAATACATAATAATTTACACATGGAAAATAGTAGAGGGGCTGGTCCCAAATCTGCACACAGAAATAACATCACATGAGACCAGAAGGCATGGCAGGATGTGCAGAATTTACCCATTGAAAAGCAGAGGTGCAACAGGTACTCTGAGAGAGAACTATATCAACATCAGAGGCCCGAGACTGTTCAACATGCTTCCACTACACATGAGGGGCATAACTGGCCGACCCCTCACAGTGTTCAAGAGAGAACTCGATAAACATATCCAAAGGATACCTGATCAACCAAGCTGTGACTCATGCTTCAAGCTGCGAGCAGCCGCGTCCAACAGCCTGGTTGACCAGTCCAGCTACGAGGAGGCCTGGTCGACGACCGGGCCGCGGGGGCGCTATGTCCCGAAAACACCTCAAGGTAAGGTTACATTCACCAACCAAGCCCATCACAATGGCTATGGGCTGGAAAGGGAGGTAGAGATGAGAAAGACGAGAGGGCGAAGAATACTGCCCGGTGGAACACCAGTGTTAATGGGTAGAGTGGGAGAATTGGAATCATTCACAGAGACATACTTGCCTGTCAATGAGACAAGATTGTAGGTATTGGAGTGAGTGACCTCTTACTCCGTAATGTTGTAATTTAAGAAGGATAATGTGTTAACAGTATCAAAAAGTCTTATATAGGCCAACAAATAAATAAACAAGGTACCTATTTCTTTCAAGAGGTGCATATATTAAGTTAATCATACTAATCGGTGCATGAGTGGTCCTTTTTTGGGCCTGAAGCCATCATGGCAAGAACTAAGTATATTTTGTTTTGCTAAATAGGAGTAAGGCTGTTTGTAGATTAAGTCTTTAAAATATTTTAGACAAAAACTGGCAGAATTGATATATGTCTATAATTGTTGACTTCAGTGAGATTGCCACTTTTATGGACTAAGGTTACTATTGTTTTTTTTTTTAGAATATCAGGAAAGGTTTGTAGTCCAAATGATTTGTTGTAGAGCAATGCAATGGCTGGAGCTAAAAATCTAGACGCTTTCTTGTAAATTAGGGATGGTATCTGAACATATGGTATCTGTGCATGGGGTTCATTCATCCACTGCAAATTACTTCAAGCCCATCATCATCAAACAAAACTCTGCTATCAGAAGTATAAAACTGTCTTCAAACAACAAACAACAAACAGCATCTCTCTCTTTAAATCCCAGAACATGCTAAATATACACTCGCTCTACACATTCTCTTGTGCTATTTATATGTCCAAAACCTTGTTCCTAAATGCTAATCCTAATCTGAAACTTTTCATTGATAGATGTAATGGAATCCACGAGCACCACTACATAAATAAATATCCCTTTGATATAAATTGACAGTCATGCTAATATAATTGCCAGTCAGGCTTATTGTAATTCACAATCATCTTAATATAATTGCCAGTTTGGATAATATAGTTGTCAGAGAGGATTATGCCAGTCAGGCAAATATAATTGCCAATCTGGGTAATATAACTTTGAACCAGGCTTTTTCACCCACATGGTTATTGATTGATGGAACTGCCCACACGCCGAAGCCATAACTGCCAAAACTGTGCTGAATTTCAAAATATAGCTGGAAAAGATCAAGGCAAATGGGGGGACGGATGGGGGCCTGAAACAAGCTGCTGGCTTCCTGTTCTCATCAGCTATATTTACCCTCAGGTAAATTGGGTAAAATATTATTCCCAGACAATTACAGCATAACTGATAAAGTTATGCAAGAGTAATATAAATTTCTGATAAATTTAGAGTGATATAAATTTCTAGATTAATATAAATTTAAATTTTATAGTAACTTGACTGACAGTTATAAATACCAGTCTGCCTTCAATAAACTCTTCGGTGAAATATTTATAAACAAGAGATGAACTCATAAATAGGCCAAAAAAATGGACATCAGTTTACAAATAAATTTGATCAGAAAAATCCTTGATTAACATACATTTCCCTACCAATCAAATGATCTCTTCTTAAGTACGTCTCAGACTGTCTTCTTCACCAACTCCAGTGCTAAATAATATTACAACAAAAATGTCCGTAATTTAGCTACAGAGTATAATAAATTTTAAATAAATTTCCACAGGAAGCAAAAACAAAGCACATTATTACTAACATAAATATGAAGAAAAACATTTAAAGCTTTGTTTTATCTTTGCTAAACTAAAGAGATATTTCTATACTTATAAGCAATTTTAAGTTTTCCTAGTGACAGCTTCTGTAGTTCTTGCTTGGTCATCTAACTTTCATAAAAGAACCATGTAATAAAATATCTTCAGATTTTTACCTTTCATGGAGAAGTGTTTTTTTTACAAACGAAATATAATTACCTCTGAAGAACATCCAACTAACATTGTGATAGCATACTGTTAGGTTAAAGGTAAGTTAATATACCATTATGTGCCTCATTATCTTTCAACATTCTCTTAATTACCTTCCACACTCGAAGTGTTTAGCCTATTATCTGCATGTATCATCTTGTGCCTCTTCATGCGTCCAAGACGACTGAATCTCTTCCCACACTCAGGACATTCATGAGGTTTGTCACCTGAATGCACTAACATGTGAGACATCATACTTCCAAGACGACTGAATCTCTTCCCACATTCCAGACACTCATGCGGTTTGTCACCTGAATGCACTAACATGTGCCTTATTATAGTTTTACGTTCTCTAAATTTTTTGCCACACTCGGCACATTGAAAAGGTCTCTCTTCCGTATGCACCATCCTGTGAGTCTTCATACTTCCACGACGACTGAATCTCATCCCACACTCTGGACACTCATGCGGTTTGTCCCTTGAATGCACTAACATGTGAGACTTCACATTTCCAAGCTGACTGAATCTCTTCCCACACTCTGGACACTCGTGAGGCTTGTCACCTGAATGCACTGCATGTATCATCTTGTGCCTCTTCATGTGTCCAAGAAGACTGAATCTCTTCCCACACTCAGGACATTCATGAGGTTTCTCACCTGAATGCACTAACATGTGAGTCTTCATATTTCCAAGCTGACTGAATTTCTTCCCACACTCTGGACACTCGTGAGGTTTGTCACCTGAATGCACTAACATGTGCTGTATTATAGTTCCACGTTCTCTAAATTTTTTGCCACACTCGGCACATTGAAAAGGTCTCTCATCCGCATGCACCATCCTGTGAGTCTTCATATGTTCACGCCGACTGAATCTCTTCCCACATTCTGGACACTCGTGAGGTTTATCTCCTGAATGCACTAACATGTGAGTCTTCACATGTTCACGCTCACTGAATCTCTTACCACACTCTGGACACTCGTGAGGTTTATCTCCTGAATGCACTAACATGTGACGCTTCACACGTGAAGGACAGGTGAATACCTTCGGACACTGTGGACACTGGTGAGTCTTCATCTTCTTTATGACAGGTGCAGTTTGATGAAGGTTTTCTCCCCCGGATGTTGGGAGAAGCGTCAAGGCTTGAGTGTTGTTTCTTAGAGTTAGACTTGATGTGAGCACTTGGCGGTCAATGGTGGTGCTTCTTTTTTATGATAAGTGCAGTTTGTGTCCAGGTTTTCCCTTAATGCTCGTGCTGGACATCCCCGGGTGGTGCTGCTAAAATGGCGGCGGTTGTTTACCCTCTTATCAACTAAGGGTTCCAATGTTTTGTATGGTTCCACATACCATTTTTCCTACTTCTTATTTTTGTTTGTAACTGGTCATTTACAATTACGACTTGTATTTATACCCATGTTTTTCCAACCAAAGAATGTACTTGGAATTGTTTCTTTATACATAATGCTACACGATTATGTTTTTTGAAGGAAACAGTTCTTCCATAGTGGATGTGCTCCGAACATTAATGGAACTGACAAAGTGTCAGTTGAGTCAACCCAAGTAACAGTTAGATCAACCCAAGTATCGCGTTTCCAAAATGGTCGCCCATGTTGGAATAGTCGAACGCCGAAAATATATGGTTGAAAACATCTTGATAACTTAAATTATTTATTAGTCAGAAGAAAGACAGAAATGGGAGCATTATATAAAACTTTTACCAGACAAATATTTTTTAAGTAAAACCGAAGATATTTGTAGTTTTGCGTAATAGTGGCTTTAGGCATTGTATGTACTAGCTCTATCTATAAATCCATCAACTTTTGCATCTTACCCAGTCTGTATGTACTTTACCTGAATAATTATTTGTATTTGTTTTGTATTTTTGTAGTTGTATAAAAGTGTCAGTTTAGACACTTCGTACTTTGACAACATCGCACACTTATATTTTTACCACTTCGCCACCAGCTTTGGACGTTTCGAATATGTGTACGTGTTCACTATTAAAACGACAATATAATGCATACTTATGCTTGCCGTATGGCAAGCATAAGCCAGTCAGCGTACACTCGCCACCATAAAGATTGTAACGAGCTGGCTGAAATAACTGGATGCCGGGAAGGCTACTGCCGAAACGGGTGTAGCAAGCACAAAGAAGTAACACTGCTCTGAGCTGTAAATAAGAGTTAGAATTAATATAAATATAGTACAGTAAATAACCAACGGTGCATAGGGAGATCCACGGCAGAAGTAGTATGTCCGACTGCAGGCAAATTTGCTCAAAATAAGACTGGAATAAGCTGACAATTAAGAATAGCCGAAGTTAAGACATACACCTGGAAAAACCAATACTGCGAATTTGCAAAGTTAATACAGCATGAAGCTTAGGCTGGGAGGAAAGGTGGAACGCTTCAAGAGTTTGCATGACAACTTGCGCGAGGTCATGCTAAACTTCTCTGTAGCATTCCAAATTTATCTTATGTACTGCCGAAACGAGTGAAGAATGGGTGGTCAAAATAATGCACAATATTTAGAATATACAATGAGGGAAAAACGAGAGTAATAGGACGAAATAACCAGAGGAAAAAATGGGGGGGGGGACCCAACCCAAATGCACTGCAACTAGCGCACCCTAGCTGAAATTAACTTAATGGCGCAAAGGCAATAAGCAATAGTTTAATACAAATCCTAATTGAAAGTCCCTTAATATAACAAATTAAACGTGAAGCTTAAGCGAAGCGTAAATTGCGGGAAAAATTGCCGTATTAAATACGAATCATAATTGCAAGTCCAATAATAAAATTTATAGGCATGAGGCGTAAGCAATGCTATAAATTGCAGAAGTAATACAACTCATAACTGAAAGTCTAGCAATCATAAATTATATTTTATAAATGTTCACAAATAATATAAATTATAAATCACCAAAACGGCGGACCGCACGACCACAGGGCGTCAAAGCTTAAGTTAGAGATAACTGAGACAGCGAGTGGCAACTCGCTCAGCCTAGCTGGCCTTACTTAATAACTTTAACAAAGTCGAGGGAACAAGCCTAAATTTCCACCGGGAAGTAAAACCTGCAGCTGGTGTTGGGGGGGCATCAATTGAAGAATTAAATTGTGATAGGCTAAATGTAAACATTTAGGCCGTAAATGATAAACCACATAACGTAACCAGGAGAAACAACATAATTATGCCGCAAGGTCTACTCGTAATATACAGTAATAATTTACAGAGGAAACTAAACATAAATGCAGGGCCAGAAACTTAAACCAGGAGACAAGGGCCCGCAACTCTGCAACTAGCACATTCTAACTGACTTTACTTAATAACTTAAGGCAAAGCAAAAGTTAAAGAAACATTCTGTAAACACAGCAAAAGTAAACAAGCATGCAACAAGACAAAGCATCCAGAGCGGAAATAAAGTGAGTAGGCTAGTGGTAAATGCGAAGCCAGCTAGGGAAGCTGAAGCAAAAGGCATGAGGCCTGTGACACGGCAACTAGCACAACCTAGCTGGCTTAGTTAATAACTCAAATACAATAACCACGGGTTTTATAAGTTAAAGAATCATGCAGCGTGGGTAGTACCTGGACCTTAAACCCACATAAAAACATTATAGCTGGTGAATCTAGTGGAGAGTAATCCTTCGTGTTAGTTATATATGCATTCTCTGCTTGAAACTTGAAGTAAATATGTGTTTGATGATAGTAGAATTAGTTTTATAATAGCAAGATATTATACCAGTAGCGTGTATAACACAAACCAAGTACTGCCTAATTAACTCCATGTAACCTAACTTACCTCCTAAATGTCAACCCATGTCTTGCTATTTTTTAAACAACGCTGTTCACCAACATGTGCAATTGCTGATTTATGCTATGTTAACCCCCTTTTTGTATTTTTTATTCCTTCTTTCAACACAATTTATACCTAATCCCGATTACTATTAAGTTTTAGTCTGTTTTTTTTCCCCCACCAATAGTCAAAATGGGCAAACTAATGGATTAACTTAACGACCGTTGCCGAATGTTGAACTGCAAAATCCTGTCATCAGCGGCTGGAGCATCAGAGCTGGGCACCTGCAGCTGGACATCGACAGCTGGAGCATCAACATCTGGAGAAGATAGAAAAATAGCGGCAACTGGCCACCAGGGAAGACCTTAGTGGTAAGTAGAAGTCGAGCTGGAAGACAATTTAGGCTAAAGACTGGAATATAACTGTCATAGAGAATAACGTGAACAATTCATGAAGCTGGGAAAACAAGAATTACAATAAGACTGAGAAGAGTGATAAATTGATGGGGAAGACTGGAGCAAATGCCGAGAAGCATAACATGGAACTGGGACGTTAGCAGCTGTAACATCGTCTGCTGAAACGAGTTGCGGAACTGGGCCGTTAGGCTGGGAGGGCGCCCGCTGCAACAGCTTCGGCCAAGCCGTCAGCTGGCCCATCCTCTGCAGTAACAACACCGGCTGGGACGACGTCGTTGGAAAAAGGCCTAACAATGTAATAAATTATATTATTATGAATAATCGTAAATAAATGGTGTAAATAATAAAATTATAAACCAATTATAAATAAAATTAATTATAAATAATTGCAAAACAAAGTATGCTCAAAATAATGCTGGACTATAACTCGTTAGAGAAACGGGATTAACACATGGAGCCGAAATAAATACAACCAAATACAATAACTGAAAAGGAGTGAAAAAGGGCACAACGTCAGTTGGAACGCTTCAGCTGGAACTTCGGGACCAGCAACTCCCGGGCTACACCGGGCAGACAACACGTCTGGATAAACCAGCGGCCTGGTGGCCGCTGATTTACTACTGGCAGAGAGCAGAGGTTAGTGTTGGACCAGTATCTCCAGCCTCCTTCTACTGGCAGGGGGTTGGTCCTGAACCTGTACCTCCAGCCCCCCCTCAACTGGCAGGGTTTTGGTGCTGGACTTGTAGCTCCAGCCCCTCTCTACTGGCAGGGGATTGGTACTGGACCTGTAGCTCCAACCCCCCCCCCCTCTACTGGCAGGGGGTTGGTGATGGACTTGTAGCTCCAGCCCCCCTCTGCAGGCAGGGGGTTGGTTCTGGACCAGTATCTCCAGCCTTCCTCTACTGCCAGGGGGTTGGTGCTAGACCTGTAGCTTCAGCCCACCCCCCCTCTACTGGCCGGGACGTTAGTGTCATATCTGTAGCCCCAGCCCTCCTCTACTGGCAGGAGGTTGGTTCTGGACCAGTAGCTCTAGCCCCCCTCTACTCGCAGGGGTTGCTGCTGAACCTGTAGCTCCAGCCCAACTCTACTGGCAGGGGGTTGGGGATGGACCTGTTGTTCCAGCCCCCTTCTACTGGCAGGGGTTGCTGCTGGACCTGTTGTTCCAGCCCCCTTCTACTGGCAGGGGGGTAGGTGCTTGACCTGTAGCTCCAACCCTCTTCTACTGGCAGGGGGAGTTGGTGCCTGACCTATAGCTCAAGCCTCTCTACTGGCAGGGGGTTGGTGCTGGACCTGTTGCTCCAGCGCCTCTACTGGCAGGGGGTTGGTGCTAGACCTGTAGCTCCAGCCCCGCCCCCTCTACTGGCAGGGACTTTGGTGTCGGATCTGTAGCCAAAGCCCCCCCTCTACTGGTAGGGGGTTGGTGCTGGACTTGTAGCTCCAACTTCCCTCTACTGGTAGGGGGTTGGTGCTGATCCTGTAGCTCCAGCCCCCTTGCAGGGGGTTGATGCTGGACCTGTAGCTCCAGCCCCCCTCTACTGGCAGGGGGTTGGTGCTGGACCTGTAGCTCCAGCCCCCTCTACTGGCAGGGAGTTGGTGCTGATCCTGTAGCTCCAGCCCCCTTCTACTGGCAAGGGGTTGGTGCTGGACCTGTAGCTCCAGCACCCCCCCCCCCTCTATTGGCAGGGGGTTGGTGCTGGATCTGTTGCTCCAGCCCCCTCTACAGGCAGGGGGTTGGTGCTGGACCAGTAGCTCCAGCCTTCCTCTACTGGCAGGGGGTTGGTGCTGGACCTGTAGCTCCAGGACCCCCCCCCCCCCTCTTCTGGCAGGGGGGTTGGTGCTGAACCTGTTGCTCCAGCCCATTTTCCCCTTCTACTGGCAGGGGGTTGGGGATGGACCAGTAGCTCCAGTCTTCCTCTACTGGCAGGGAGTTGGTGCTGGACGTGTTTAATCCAGCCCCCCTCTACTGGCAGGGGGTTGGTGTTGGACCTGGTGCTCCAGCCCCCCTCTACTGGCAGGGGGTTGGTGTTGGACCTGTAGCTCCAGCCCCCCTCTACTGGCAGGGGGTTGGTGTTGGACCTGTAGCTCCAGCCCCCCTCTACTGGCAAGGATTTTGTGCTGGACTTGTAGCTCATACCCCCCTCCCCTTTGCTGGCAGGGGGTTGGTCCTCGACTTGTAGCTCCAGGCCCCTTAACTGGCAGGGGGTTTGATGCTGGACTTGTAGCTCCAGCTCCCCTCTACTCTCAGGGGGTTGGTGCTGGACCTGTAGGTCCAACCCCCTTCTACTGGAAGGGGGGGGGGTTAGTGTTGGACCAGTGTCTCCAGCCTCCCTCTACTGGCAGGGGGTTGGTGCTGATCCTGTAGCTCCAGCCTCCCCTCTACTGGCAGGGGGGTTGATGCTGGACTTGTAGCTCCAGCCCCCTCTACTAGCAGGGGGTTGGTGCTTGACTTGTAGCTCCAGCTCCTCTCTACTGGCACGGGGTTGGTGCTGGACTTGTAGCTCCAGCTCCTCTCTACTGGCACGGGGTTGATGCTGGACTTGTAGCTCCAGCCCCCTCTACTAGCAGGGGGATGGTGATTGACTTGTAGCTCCAGCTCCTCTATACTGGCACGGGGTTGGTGCTGGACTTGTAGCTCCAGCTCCTCTCTACTGGCACGGGGTTGGTGCTGGATCTGTTGCTCCAGCCCCCCTCTACTGACAGGAGGTTTGTGCGGGACCTGTAGCTCCAGCTCACCCCTCTACTGGCAGGGGGTTGGTGCTGGACTTGTAGCTCCAGCCCCTATCTACTGGCAGGGGGTTGGTACTGGATCTGTAGCTTCAACCCCCTTCTACTGGCATGGGGGGAAGGGTTAGTGTTGGACCAGTAGCTCCAGCCTCCCTCTACTGGCAGGGAGGTTGGTCCTGAACCTGTAGCTCCAGCCCCCCCCCCTCTACCTTCATTCGGTTGATACTGGATTTATAGCTCCAGCGCCACTCTACTGGCAGGGGGTTGGTGCTGGACCTGAAGCTCCAGCTTCCCTCTACTGGCAGGGGATTGGTGCTGGACCTGCAGCTCCATCCCCCCTCTACTGGCAGGGGGTTGGTTCTGAACCTGTAACTCCAGCCCCCCTCTACTGGCAGGGGGGTTGGTGCTGGACCTGTAGCTCCAGGCCACTTTACTAGCAGGAGGTACTAGCAGGAGGTTGGTGCTGGACCTGTAGCTCCAGCCCCCCCCCTCTACTGGCAGGGGGCTGCACCTGTAGCTCCAGCCCCCTATATTGGAAGGGGCTGTTTGCTGGACCTGAAGCTCCAGCTCTCCTCTACTGGCAGGGGGTTGGTGCTGGACCTGTTGCGCTAACCCTCCTCTACTGGCAGAGGGTTGGTGCTGAACCTGCAGCTCCAGCCCCCCCCCCACTATTGGAAGGGGCTGTGTGCTGGACCTGTAGCTCCATCCTCCCTCTACTGGTAGGGTGGTTAATGCTGGACCTGTAGTTCCAGCCCCCTCTACTGGACGGGGGGGGGGGGGAGGGGTTGGTGCTGGACCTGTAGCTCCAGCCTCCCCTCTACTGGCAAGGGGTTTGTGCTGGACCTTTAGCTACAGCCCCCTTCTACTGGCAGGGGGTTGGTGCTGGACCTGTAGCTTCCCCCCTTTCCCTCTATTGGCAAGGGATTTGTGCTGGACCTGTAGCTCCAGCCCTCCTCTACTGGCAGGGGGTTGGTGCTGGCCCAGTAGCTCCAGGCCACCTCTACTGGCAGTGGGTAGTGCTGGACTTGTAGCAGTAGCCCCCCCCTCCTCTACTGGCAAGGGGTTGGTGTTGGACCAGTAGGTCTATCCCCCTCTACTGGCAGGGGGTTGGTGCTGGAGCAGTAGCTCCAGCCCCCCTCTACTGGCAGGGGGTTGGTGCGGGCATTGTTTAGAAGTTTGTTGGCAGTTTCAAGGCTTCAGTCTCTTCGAACCCATCAGTGGTCTGTTTTGGTTCACTGTCTTCCTGGTTGCTTTCCCGGTAGGTTGGTGGAGTGTCACCCGCTCTCTGTGCCTTTGTGAGGGGGCCAGGATAACGGGTTCAATAGAGGATCACGGGTTCAATCATCGCGCAGGACAGAAATGATTCCCATGTTTCCTTTCACCTGGTGTCTCTGTTCACATACCAGAATATATTTATCCAGGAGTTAGGCAACTATTGTGGATTGTATGTTAAGGAGAGTCAGTAGTTGACCTTGGGGAACTCCAATAAACCTAAGAACAGGCTTCCTCTCTTCAAAATGCAACTCAATATCTTGTGATATAACCTATGAGAGAAAATAAAAAACTTACTGTTAATTGCTTCTCGGGGATCTCTCCAGTGATTTCCTGAACTTTATTCATGATGCTGGAGGCTGAGTCTCCCAGGTGTACGGGGTCAGCTGTGGCACCTGTCTCTGTGGTCATCATCTCCAGGGCCTTCCTGATGGTCTTCTGCACCTGTCATTACCAACGAAAACATTATGTTTGGCAATAAATCCTCTAATCAGATAAATCTCAAAATAAACAATACCCAAATTTGTAACAAATTAGATGGCAAATTTCTTGGCGTTCTCATCGACCACAAGCTGAATTTCCAGGGTCACATTCTAAATATATCAAAAAAAGTTTCAAAAACTGTTGGTATTCTTTCTAAGATCAGATATTATGTACCCCGCCCTGCCCTGGTTACTCTCTATTACTCCCTCATCTATCCATACCTCAACTATGGTATTTGTGCTTGGGGTTCTACTACCCAAAATCATTTACGTCCTCTTATTACCCAACACAAAGCTGCTATTAGGACAATATCCAACTCTGGCCCCAGACATCACTCGGTACCCTTACTCAAATCTCTGAATATGTTAGATATTAAGTCACTGCACATTCTCTCTTGTGTATTATTCATATATAAAACTCTGAACTGTAATGCCAATCCTGACCTCAAAAGCTTCATTGAAGGTTGTAACAGAACCCATGAGCACCACACCAGAAATAAATACAGTTTTGATATTCCTAGAGTACGACTTAATCAAACTAGAAATGCTCTACAAATCAAGGGACTCAGAATGTGGAATGACCTTCCCAACCATGTTAAAGACTGTACCTCTCTCAACCAGTTTAAGATAAAAACTAAACACTACCTAATAAATTCCCTGTAACCTACCTCACTCCTCTATTGTCAACCCATGTTTGTAATTTTTTTTTTTTTAATCAACACTGTTTGTCAACCTATTGTATTTGTGCTGCTTTTTCAGTCATGTTCCCCCTTTTTTTTTATCTTTATTTGTATTTGTTCTCAACACTTTTTATTCTTTATGCTCAATTAGTATTAAGTTCTAGATATTAATGTTTTTCTTGCCCGAAACGCATTGCGTAATAGTGGCTTTAGGCATTGTATGTACTAGCTCTATCTATATATCAATCCACTAATGTAACATCACTTGTATGTATGTATGTACCTTACCTGAATAAACATATTTATTTATTTATTATTTATTAATGGTGGAGGCCGAGTCTCCCAGGTGTACGGGGTCAGCTGTGGCACCTGTCTCTGTGGTCATCATCTCCAGGGCCTTCCTGATGGTCTCCTGCACCTGTCATTACCAACACAAACATTAATGGTGGAGGCTGAGTCTCCCAGGTGTACGGGGTCAGCTGTGGCAACTGTCTCTGTGGTCATCATCTCCAGGGCCTCCCTGATGGTCTCCTGCACCTGTCATTACCAACATAAACATTAATGTGGAACCTGGACTATAATGAAGCATCAGGCTCTGAGTAAAGTAACTGAACTACAATGAAGCATCAGGCTCTGAGTAAAGTAACTGGACAATAATGAACCATCAGGCTCTGAGTAAAGTAACTGAACTACAATGAAGCATCAGGCTCTGAGTAAAGTAACTGGACAATAATGAACCATCAGGCTCTGAGTAAAGTAATTGGACTATAATGAAGCATCAGGCTCTGAGTAAAGTAACTGGACAATAATGAACCATCAGGCTCTGAGTAAAGTAACTGAACTACAATGAAGCATCAGGCTCTGAGTAAAGTAACTGAACTACAATGAAGCATCAGGCTCTGAGTAAAGTAATTGGACTATAATGAAGCATCAGGCTCTGAGTAAAGTAACTGGACTATAATGAAGCATCAGGCACTGAGTAAAGTAACAGGACTACAATGAAGCATCAGACTGAGTAAAGTAATTTGACAATATAAGTAGTGTTTCTCTACACTGACCACAGTTTAGAGAAACACCAAGATGACAGTTGACTTTATTAATAAAAATGTTTCAGGTGTTAGAGCAAAAAGTTTCCTATATATAAAGTCTACTCTCATCTTGATGTGTCTCCATGTCAAAAGTGTTTATATAGAGGCAATACTACACACAGTTGGGTGAGAACAATGTTACCTTCAGCAACGTACCTTCACTGAGGTGTGGACAGTCTTGACATCTGGGAAGAGTTCCTGGCACTTCCTGAGCCAATTTTCTACCTCCATGTTGCATTGGTCAACTTCATTGATGGTCATGAATACTTCCTGGGCTGTGTTGACTGTGTCGAGGCTCCCCAACATGGCCTGCAGCTGAGTCTTCCCTTCCTCTCCTTGTGTTGTCATATCCACCACATTGGTATCCTCCAGTTCCAAGAGCTTCATTGCTGACTTGTTCTGCTCTACCAGAGCATAGAGTCTGTCCTGGAGCTGGAGATGGTGAGTCTTCCAGTCCCCCAGCTGCCCCCGGTACTCCCCCAGCTGGGACAGTACCTCTTCACAGCTAGTAATGAGGCTGCTGATGATGCTCTTCTGCTCCTGCACCATGGAATGTAACTTCTTGCTGATTCCTCTTGCAGGAGCTTTAATGGGTTTTGCTGGTAACGTTTTCTCTGGTACAACCTCGATACCTTTTAGTTTTCTGATAAGGGCCTCCATACCATAATTAATTGTAAACTGAGTAGCAGCTGTGGCAGCATGCTGGGCACGGCAGCTGGGGCAGGTCAGCTGCCCATTCTTGATAGCATTGTTAATACACTGGGAACAGAATGTGTGTCCGCAAGGCAGTGTGCGAGGCCGTAGCTGATTGTCATCATAATTGTTAAAACACACTGAACATTCCTCTGGGTTGTTATCCTATGGAAAAAAATATTTGGTTAAGCTAGAAGAATTTACAACAAAAAGTAATATTACGGTACTGTAATGTATTTACCGATACAAATTACATAATATTTACATAATTTCTTTGTACAGAGGAGCCTCGGTATTTGCAATGCTCATAATTCGCACTTTTCGGTATTCAGACGCTGTGTTCATGTTCGGTATTCGTCTGTTTGCTCGGCATTCAGATGTAAACACGCGTCCCTGATGCATCAGTTTCACCATAGCTGTTGTTCAGTGCACAACCTACTACACTTTTCTCTTGGATATTTTTTATATTATTATTGTAAATAAGTCACCATGACACCTATGAAAGTTTGTAATATGAGCCTAGCAAAAAGAAAAATGGTTAGAATCATGATACAGATGAAGAAAGAACTCACAGCTATATATGAGAGTGGTAAACGAGTGTCAGCTTTTGTTACAGAGTTTGGTATGCCTAAATCTAGTTCTCTATTAAAATAAATGTATGCAAAATGAGAGAAAGTGAAAACCTTTTCTTGAAATTATCACCTTGACAAACTGTGTTACAAATCTGTTGAATGACAGTGCTATGGCTAACTTTAAAAACATTTTAATGCACAGGCAAAAACAATCATCCTTGGACAAGTTACTAATAAGGAAAGCATTCAGTGAGTGTAATGAGGGAAACAGAAAAGAGAAAGAACATCAGAAGCACAACTTCCAGAAGTTTTAATGTTAGGGAACTCCCCTGCCAAAGAACATCTCTCTTCCTCTGCCTCACTAGTTTCCACATATGCCATCAACTCTCCGAAGTACAGGTAAAGTGTAGTGTGTTAGCATTTATTCCATTTTTTTTTTTTTGAGATATATACAAGAGTTGTTACATTCTTGTACAGCCACTATAGTACGTGTAGCGTTTCGGGCACGTCCTTAATCCTATGGTCCCTGGAATACGATCCCCTGCCGCGAAGAATCGTTAAATTACACAATTAATTAAATTACATTATAGTTACACAATATTTAATTATTGTGTAACTATACAGTATTTATTTTTGTGGTTTGGAACTGATTAATCCAATATACATTATTCCTTACTAGCTGTACTTGGCCACGCATTGTTGTGGCTCAGCAACGCATGTGCGTTGTTGAGCCACAGCAACCTTCCCCTGTCTCCCAGTCCTCCCCACCATTCTCCAGTCCCCTCATCCTCCCAACCATTCCTGCCCATACATCATTGTTAGTAGCTCTGAGATTTTATGCAAGTGGAAGTTTCCAAAGTGTTATTGGAGATTCAACTGGTCTCAGTCAATCGAGTGTATCAAGAATAATAACTGGAGTGACGGAAGCTCTCTACAGAAAAGGACTAGCAGAAATAAAAATGCCAACAGAGATGAATGAAATTATACAAACTAAGTTAAAATTTAATAATATAAGTAGGTTTCCCAATGTAATTGGAGCAATCGATTGTACCCATGTCCCCATTAAAGCTCCAAAAGTTGAAGAAAACATATATGTAAATAGAAAACAATATCACTCTTTGAACATTCAAGTTGTGTCAAATCCTGATAATGTAATCATGGATTTCTGTGCAAGATACCCTGGAAGCACTCATGATGCTTTCATATGGGCTAACAGCAGACTCCATATCAGATTTGAAGCAGGAGAATTTGGCATTGCCTATTTGCTAGGTAAGATATGCATTTTAAATATGACCTTCATTTATAGTACAGTAGGTTGCCTATTTGTTATTTATCGAGTCACAACAAATACACTATACAGTCTATAAATAAAAGTTGTTTAATACTGAATGGTAACAGCTTATTGTATTATGAATAGTATAAAGAAATTTATTCATGTTGATTTTATATTAAAGAAATGACAATGTGTTTTAGCCCTGATATGGAGAATGAAAGTGAGAATTTTGAATGGAAATCAGCAGAAATGTGTTTAAATATACATCATGTGTCATGGGTGTACCAGAGATTACAAGTGGATGATTAAGTTAAATATGGAAGGAAGTGGATTACATTTTGGTTGTTTTGATATGTCAGTTATATGCCTCTGAACATTAAATGAGAATGATGTATGTAATGCAAGAGGTAATCATATGACAGAGGAAGGTAACCAACCACTTCAGATGCTAGAATCAAATAGTGTATGAAAGAAAGTGTGGGTTTAGGATCAGTGAGTGATTTTTAAAGATGTATGCACATTTTATAAATTAAATATCTATGCAGGTGACAGTGGCTATCCCTTGCAACACAACTTACTTACACCCTTCACAAACCCTGAAAACCCTCCAGAAGAGCTGTATAACAGGAGCCATGCAAGAACAAGAGTGGTAATCGAGAAAACTTTTGGCGTGTTAAAATCTCGGTTTAGGTGTCTCCACAGTTCTGGTGGTAGTCTTCAATATGAAACAGATAAATGTGCAAAGATTTCAGTTGCATTTATGTTATTGCACAATTATTGCATTGAGCAAAGAATACCTCTTGAAGAGATCATTGATGGTGACTTTATAATGAATGAAAATGTTGAAGGTGGAGCACATGAGAATGGGCACACACAAAGAAGGGAAGTAGTAAGGAATAATTTCTCATAAATTTTTATTTCAAATCATACTTATATAACAAAGTAAAACATGTAATTGAAAACACTACATAATGGAACTTTTGTATAAAAATACAAGTACAGTAACTCAAGAATTTATCAATAAGGGAAATCAAAAACATTTATAATTTGATTCATAGATTTATTTGTAAGTTATCCTATCAATTTTTACCTATTAAATTCAATAGCACATACTGTATATGTAAGTGAAACAGAAATATACAAACAAACTGTTACAAACATGTACCTGCTGATTTGGAAATATTATTTATGCTGCTATACTTTATATGGAAAGTCAGATACCTGAGGAGAAATATATGCATCTGACAAAAGACCAAAAATTTGTGTGAAAAATATATCAATAAATATTTATTCATAGACACTAAGAAATGTGGTACATAATATGGCTGGGTAAATTTTTGGTTTGTAAATAACTACTAGTGTTTGTTAGCCAATGCTGTGTACACACAGCATTGGCCTTAAAATTGAATTATTTTAATTATAAAATAAAGTTGCTTTCAATACAGTACAGTGTATAATATACCTTACATGTAAGGGAAAAATTAAATATAATTTTGTTTAAATGATATACACAAAACAATGATATAGGCCATCAATATGTTGCCCTTAGACCAATTTGAGGTGAAACATATATTAGGGATGTGATAAAATAATTATATCTTTGCCATTAATCTTTTTGCCAATAAAAATGTTTCTTATTCTGGTGTTTTTTTTCATATTGTCACTACTTTGAACTCTCAACAATTAAACCTAGCAATTGATAAACATTCTTTAATACAAAAAACATGTAAATATTTTCACCAAACATCAGTTGACTATATGAGGTAGATTGGTTATTAAATTACACTATATACTATGCAAGTCATAGCCAAATTAATGATATGAATAATTGTTACATTTTAATGTTTCAATATTGTTCTTATTTAAAATTGTTATTACAAAATATTATAATTTCTTATCCTATTTTTAGAGAGTATAATTAGAAAGATTTAAATAAATTTCATAGTGCCTGATTATTTTTCATACATTCTACCAACTCCCATATACCTTTGGATATATCCTTGAGGGATTTGTTTAAGTCCTGTACTTCTTTAACCACCTTCTTGAAAGACTTGTTTCCTACATCTACTGCTTTTGCAACCTCCTTTAGGGACTTGTTCCCTTCATGTACTTCTGCAGCCACGTCCTTTAAGGCTGCTGGCACTTTGTGTACAACATCTATAAGATTTTCATGCAGCATTAACACTTGTTGTGTTGTATTATGTTCTGCAGTCATTTATTTTTTTCTTGTATGCGTACTAGAGACTGTACTAGAGATTTAACTCACCAGTTTTTCTCATTTCCCGGGCATTTTCTGCCAATTTTTTCTTGACTGAAGATTTAAGATCCTGAAATTTCTTGCGAACATCGGCTTGTTGTCTTGAGCAGAGACCAACACCACTTACAGCAACAGCTACTTGGCTCCAGGCACAGTGTTTATCATGGTGTCGGAAAATCCGACACCATTTAATATATCATACAGATAATAGCTGTATTACCAACAAGTTACCCATAGAAAACGTAACTTGTAGTGGAATTACCGTCTATAGAAAACGGGATATCATCACCACATACTATTATAATTCACCACCTATTATGGTGGGAATTATTCTTAAATACATTAGTCTTTGGACTTTACCATCATAAAAACATCTCATATAAATTAACTTAATTATCAATATTAAAGTAGAGTAAATGTGACCCTTCTATCACTTTCTGAAATCTGGACAATGTAAGCCAGGCGTCAGGGGGGAAGGAGGGAGCCATTGTTGTGTCACATCCGAGACGTGTGGAGCAAATTTGGCTCCTATCATATCTGGACAATGTCGGCCAGGCGTCAGTAGTATGGAGTGTTAGACATTGCCATTGTTTATACAAGACCAGAGGCTCACACGGGAGCAAATTCGGCTCCTGTTAAATTTACTTGGACGTAGTGTTATGGAAACCAGAAGTGTACCATTATCAACACGCTGTCTACAAATCAAGTTAAGTGTTCTTTCCGAAACCCATGTATCTTCATTTATGGCCATTAATGTCATTATATAGGGTGACCCGGTTAGAGCACGTGGAAGCCTCAAACTAAAGGTAATTAAGCCAGGTCTTCAATGTTCCATGTACAGTATTTCTCTGATATAGCTTGTCATATATAGGTATCTGGCTTCACAGCTAGCGCCCTTTTGACAGGTCAAGACGAGGAAGATTTTGTGCACCAGTTACTGGGTGATGGAAGCTACCTCAAAGAGGATAATTTGGTGTCTACACCCTAGTTATACCTGGTGGACTAACCTGCTGTACTATAAGATAAGGAACCTCTTCAATGTATGTAGTTAATACTGTAGTTTGATTGGCTGCATATATATTCAATTAATATAAACCCCCCCTAATGTGTAGAGGATCGATTTGTGAGATTATGAGATTATTGCAGAAATACAGTCCACTTATCATTATACAAATTGCTATCGAAGTATATAAATTAACGTAAATATAAATTCATATAAATTAAAAATTAAATAAATATAAATCTCACAGGTCGGTTCCCACATTATTTGGACCTTCGGAACCGGAATATTCGGTCCTATGAACCCACATTTGGTCATCTTAGTACCGGATGAACCAGTTAACCAGTGGATTCATTAAATATACTAGTGCAGTGTGATTTAAACAAAGCCAGCAGTCATGACGGCGGCGTTGACTCGTGCGAGTTCACGAGCCCCGCTCAGTTCAGATCAGCTTCGTCAGCGGTTTCATGTACACCCACAGATTTGGTGGAGTGTTATTCTGTGAAATGACAGCGCTAATATAGAAGCCAGCCAAATTAGTGGCTGTGTCCTCGCAAGATTGTTCACGGATTTCGTGGTGTTAAATTTCGCGAGAGATTATCTACGAATTTTGTGGAGTTTATTTCGCGAGGTCACTAATAATATTTAATACTTCTAGATAATATTAGAAGTTTCATAGAGGCAATTAAGAGGCTATTATCAATAATTGTGTATATTATTTCTCCAAATAGAGAATTATTTAATATATATTGCACTAGTGTTCACAGTATAATATTTACTAATTGCCAACCCACAACAGGGTAGGATATTAACATTGACTAGTTGAACTATTATCGTTCATCCTAGTCCCATTATTACCATAGTCAGTTGTACTATATTGAATAACCTAACACCATTAATGAATGGTCCAGACCCTATTTTGGGTGTAATTTTTATCAACTCGAGTTGAGTTGTATATATAATAATTTACTTATGATCATTACACCTTTGAGTGATTAATTAGTGTCTCTACCATCCTAGGGTGATATAGAAGAGCTAACCTAAAGGTACTTCCAGTGACACTGGTTTATCACTCAAATCATTAGTGTGTATGATTGTATATATATAATGTGTATTAATTTTAAGTGCTAACCTCTAGTAGAGGTAGGATTATTGCCTAGTGAGTGCAGAATTTACCCTAGGCTACCATTAGTGTTTGTTCAGTATTATGAGCAGCCCAAGTACAAGTCCCACAAGGCTTCACCAACTAGCCAGTATGGATAATGCAGGGAGAATGAAAAGAACCCTTGCAGGTCTTAAAGGCCACTTAACAAGACAGATCAAGAAATGTGAAGATTTGTCACAACAATCTCAAGTTGATTATGCTGACCTGGAAAGCTATTATCAAGCAGCTGCAGGTAAATTTGAGCAAATCAAATGTCAAATAGCAACATATGTGGCTGAACTTGCCAACACCAATTTATCAGAAACAGAAATAGACGACATTATGGTTGATCTAGCGAATTATGAAGATCAGACTCAGGCCACATTACAGCCTTATGTCAAATTAATTGCCCAGAACAAGGCAACAGCAACAACAACAACAGTTGCATCTAATACGAGTCAAGCAGAAGCTCGACTCCCTCCAATTAATTTACCCACTTTCTCAGGAAAAGATGAGGAAGATTGGGACGAATTTTGGAACAAATTCGTTGACCTTGTAGACTCAAAACAATCTTTACCAAAGAGTAGTAAATTCTCTTATTTGCAAGGCCAATTATCAGGTGAGGCTAAAACAGTAGTATCCCATCTGAGATTAACTAATGACGGCTATGATCTGGCAGTACAACTCCTCAAGGATAATTATGCTGATCCAGAAGTAAGAACATCACATTTAGTTCATGAGCTGTTGCATTTACCCCCACCGGAGGCTTCAGCTGATTCACTCCAAGTCTTCAAGCTGGAGGTAGAATCATTGATCAATGCCCTCAGCCTGACAGCAGATACAAACGGGGCTGAGTGGGTCTTGAAAATAATTGTCCAGGAGAAAATACCTAGGGACATATTGAGACAAATGAGTGCTCATTACAATAAAAGTATCTTATCCATGAATGAAATATCTGAAGGTTTAAAGTCAGTAGTTCATCAATTACGAACACATGACAAATTAAAACCACCAAGTAAACCCTCAGAAACCAATAATAGTAAACCACAGAGTACCAAAGGTACTCCAAATCAATCTAGACAATATAATTCAACACCAAAGTGGAACAGTGGCAGTGTGGCCGTATATGCAGTGGGACCCTCCAAGCCTATAGTTACTGTGTCACCCAAGAACGTGACACCAAAGGGTACTGGAAGCTATGGAACATGTTTGTTCTGCAATGAGAAACATTCAATGTACCACTGCCCTAATTTTCCTGATAGTGACGCCCGTGTTGAGCGACTCAAAGATTTGCAACATTGCACGAGGTGCCTCAGGAAACATAACATCAAGGACTGTGAGACCCAATTACACACTTGTAATAGGTGTAACAAAGGTCAGCACCATGCAGCATTGTGCAGAGACACCAAAACAACGTCTCCAAACCCCAAGGTGGAAGATAGCATTCCCACCTCAGTACAGTACTGCAAGGTGCAACAAACAAAGAGTGTCCAATCAGCAAAGTCTAAA